CTCTAATATTTAAATAAGCGTTGGCTGCTAACGTCGTTGCACCAGGCATGATGATCGGCAGCACTATCCTATGCGAGCTCATTTTCAAGAAAAATCGTTTGCTATGAAGGGAAATCGACGACTGACAAGGACAACAGTGAACGGTTCAGCGGTAAATGAGACTGAGCTACGGAAAGGACTACGCCAACCACAGCAACATCAACAATGACAGTGAAGGCTATCCTGGGCTCGGCCAACATATTAAATGGAGATAAGCCAGCAAATGAATTATCGCCAATGGCACCATCGCTTCAAGCATACCCCGCGCGAATCACTAGGATCCCAACTTTCGTTGCCTCCTTATTATATGTCGTCATTTTCTTTTTTTCGCCTCTGCTTTCACATTCGGCTATTCTCCTTTCGATTCAAGCGGACAAACTCATGGACTATCCGTTCCGCGGCCAGCCGCTAAACGCCATTGAGCCTTCCTGGTGCGTACCGGTGGAACTCGCAATCGGGATAGTTCTGCACGACCCCATATTAACATGACGTGGACAAAGGGTGCTTTACGGTGCCTATTGAAGGAAACTGCAGTTGCTAGTCAAACTGATTTATTCAAGTATTTTGTGATGAGCATAGTTTAGTATGGTAAGTTAATTCAGAAAGTTCAATAACCTTTCGATATGCTCAATTTTATTATTAAACAAAACTTGTGAATATATGTCACAGAAGCTAGAAAGCCATCATCAGTTTGTTAACTATTAGGATATTACAATATACTAGCTGTTTAAATACTCCTGGTTTGTTTGATTGAGGTGATCTGTACTTTTCAGATCAGACTTCGCTATGAAGCCTGATCTGAAAGTTTGTCTGCTACTGCAAGATTTTTATCCAGCGGTGTGGTTGATTCGAAAATAACTTCAGTTATACTGTTCAGAGCAAAGTTTGAGTGTCGATGGAGCTACTCTTCTCATCTACAAAGCATTTAATAAAAATCTGGGTGAATTGTCTACTCAATAAGTAAATAAACAACAAGTTATAATGTTCGTTAACTTTTTTCATATTTCTCGATCGATTCACAAATCGATCGGATGCCATGTAAAGAACACGGTACAGGTAGTTGCCAAAGCACCCTACAGATTGTGGGGCGTCCGTGTGACCTGGCTCTAATATCAACAGGAATTCTTTTATCCAGTGTCGTCGTTAGAACGCCAGAGAAGGGGTAGACTTCAGAGGTTATTGTCAGGAATCGTGGGGAACACCATGAGTGCCTGCATGCTGTGTGGCTAGCTATTTATAGCCCCTAAATCAATCGCTCTTAGCTCACAGGTCTTGGCCAGTATTAAGGGGATGTGATCGGAAATAAGGAAGTGCATTTGAAGCCTAGAAAAAAGAAATTGTCTCAAGACATAATCCACTGCAATATCATCATGGTGATTTATCGTGACCGTTATAATCGGCTGATACTGAGATAAGTTTCTTGCTTTCATCACAACGATCGATATTTAAATTTATTTGGAAGCCACCTGATATAACACTTGGTTAATTACTGTAGTTGTAACTGGCTCTTATTAATGATATTATGTTACTATTTGGCTAAAGTTTAATTGAATTCGCCCCGTTGTAAAAAGTAACCGGGCGTGAAATTCAATATATTTATTTATTATTGTTTACTCAAAGAGCATGTGTAAGATTATGGGGGCATGTGGTTCATTTATAGGTCAATGATGGGCTGAAAAAAAAAGGAAGAGATACACCTGTTAGTATGTCCGTTTGATGCTCATTGAAATGGAGGTTGAATCTCTTTATGTGACTCACATGAAATTGGCAACTATCGTCTGTGTCTAAACCTGTAATCTCTTGCAATATGAAGAACATACTGTGCGTAAGAAACAAAACCTTCCATTTGATCTTTTAATGTCCCATCGATCCCATAGATGGGTTAATTCACATGATTTTTTACAATGTCCTCCTAGTACAGTCTATGAGTACTCACTATGAAATTCATAACAATTTGTCTCAGTTACAGCTTACTCATGACTATTGTATCGGCAAATATAATACCATGCGCCTTTGTTCAGCATCGCCAGATCACTGTGTCTGTTAGCAATGGCTACAAACCAGCCGTCATTTCAGCGTCTTCCATACTCGACTGTTACAGCACGAACTTACCCGAATAATGGCGGCGGCATTGTTGCATCTCTCGTGGCTGGCGCAGCTTGACGGTCTGCTGAAATGTCTCGCTGGAATGAGCTGACCAGATGCACTTGACAACAAAGGGCAACAGATCGCCTTCGCCACAATGGAACGTCCACTACCTCTATAACTGCCAAGCCTTACCTAAGCTTTCATTCAAACTGACTCCCGGTAGAGTCAAGCCGCCCGGTGACCACCTGGCTGCCCAGTGCAAGTTTCCATGTGGTAATCTTCCTCCTGCCATGTTTGTGGCAGGCCAGACCGCAATCAGTAATCAACGAAACTGCCAAGGACTAGAGACTATTTCCTTACCACTAATACCTACCGAAGTCAGCGAAATAATGACACTGGGACTTGCCACCTAGGGTCTACGGACTCAAGGGCCCTAAAAGCCACAATCTCAATCTTTTTTCTCTACAAGAGATAGGACTCTGAGTCAAACTCCATTCTCGACGTTTGTACATTTCTCAGGCAGCTCGTAGGTGGTCTATTCAAGCAATACTCAGTATTCTACGGGCATATTGGTTTCGCAGATCTACAGGTGTGCCATCGGAGGACACAATTAGCCAGTGCTACTTGCCCAGCTGGCTGGGATCTGGCTGGAGGCTCTTCATTTAACATGAACATAATGGGGATAGTCTGCGCTGATTAGGTTTGCATCAGTATGCGGCAACTGGGGTGCGATGGTCTTTCGTTAAATTGTACGGGTGCATAAATAATGGTAACAGACTACGTGCATGCCAAGAAAGCAGGCATTCGATATGCCCTGAGGCCTTGAAAGATACGCGGAGATCTCGAGATATCCCGTCAACAGATGCTGGCGAGGAGGGGTGGGCGACATCGAGATACGACGGAAAAGGAAATAAACGTCCTGGTTTGGCGGAAAAAGTTAAGATAGCGGTATAAAGACGGAAAATGTGCTGAGTAAAGTCCAATTTGTTTGACAGCGAACGAGCTATGGATTCTGCTGCCGCGAAAGTGATTATCCTGAGGGACAATGGGCAGCAATTGCTAGCAATAGCAGACGTGATAGCATGTACGGATGAATACAATGCAAGACGGGTCTGGTACATTACGGTACGTGTTTGCGCAGACTCTGGGAAAAAGTGTAAATAAGCTTTTACGATTCTGGCAAATTGCTTGAAGCGCAACACGATGTTCTTCCCTGCTTAAAACAGGTCAAGGAACTAAATTGGTTTGTAATAGGTGTCGACACTAATTAATCAGTAAAAAGAAGCGCACCAGGAAGATATTGGTATTAAGGCTGAATAAAATATTCGAACCTTTACATTTTTCCACGCGCTAACATACAAAAAATACGCGAGCTGTACATTAATCAACAACAGGAGGAAATTAAATTAGGACACATTTTTTCTTAACAAACAAAATTACGCATTGGAAAATTTCTGGCAACGGATGGCCTGCGCTTACATTATGCGCTCATTTCACCCGAAATACACGACTCAACTTCTCATAGTTAATTTACTGTCATTAGCCTAGGAGCCGTGGGTTGGAGGTCTACCACTTCTTTCCATAGGGAAAGCGCCAACGGCAATTAAAATTTCAAATGCTTGTCAGTCTCACGGTGTTTAGGAGAAAAGCCGTCATCATCTATCCAACCTCAGAGTCCGCAGTGAAGAAGCGCGCGTGACACTATGAATTGTATCGTGGACTCAAGAAAAGTCCCATATAAGAAGCATAGTTTTAGCGTGAACCTTACTTTTCAACATAATCCTTTCCTGAAAACGTGGTCCACATGATCTGGAGAGCTTTACGGTCACGTTATTTCCTTGAAACACCGTACTTCATAAATGTGCTTAAGTTTGTTTTGCTGAATAACTTAACGTTCCACCCGAACTAGTTTAGTAAAGTCAGGTTTACGCCACGAGGCACGTGAAGCCTGCTTTTATAATGCTTAGAGCATTAGGTGCCCCTGTGTGGTCTGATAAGCCTTCCTGGTTTCATGGCAGCTTTTACTATTTTAATTAAAAAACAGAATTGTTTGAATTACTTACTTAACTGAATGGATATTTCCATTAATTTTTTTTTTTTGCTAAAATCCATCAATTGGCAATTAGACAAATTTGTTTAGAATTGTAGTATTCAATAATTGCAGGTACCCTTCACCGAAGTATTTTGGACTCGAACTCGACTGCAGATGCACTTCGTTTCGTGCTGAAAGACGGCCGTTTAATTTAATGCATAACGTAACATAATGGTAGAGCACGTAAAAACGTCTATTATTTAGTTTAGGCATCGTCACTACAAAGACACCGCTAATAAAAACTATAATTCTGAGGTCCACATTGTTTCATGCGTCGTTATATAACAGACCAAAAATAAGAACTACCGTGCGCTCTTAGTACAACAAACAATCAATCAATCAACGATGGCACGAAGCCGGCGTAAGGAACAAATCTGTCTATGGAATGTCTGTCCCTCACAATATAGCGCAAATTTCATGGACTTCTAAGAAAGTTCCACAGAGAAATATATAGTTCATCCTACACATCAATTTTATACTATTGTAATTATTATGTATGTTATTAATATTATATATATATATATATATATATATATATATATATATATATATAATATATTATAAATATTAGTATGCGCATCTACAATGGCTT